TCTGTCTGTCTGTCTGTCTGTCTGTCTGTCTGTCTGTCTGTCTGTCTGTCTGTCTGTCTGTCTGTTGGGCGTGATGACCCTGTGGTAATGCAGTGAGTGTAGTGCCACTATGTACCCCCCACCATCCCTACTCTATATTATTTACCTTGTTGTTCGTGATAACCTTCCCCCACCCTCCACCCTTCATCTGTCAAAATTCACTTACCTTGTTCGGCGTGATGACCCTGTGGTAATGCAGCGCGTGCAGCACGGCCATGTACCTGTCCAGCGCTATGAAGCACAGGGTGAGCATGCTGACGATGATGAGCGTGTAGTTGGCCGCGCACACCACGTCACACCACACGGGGCCCAGCATCCAGCGGTCCCCGGCTAGCGCGTGCAGAGAGCTGAGCATGATGAGTACGGCGCTGAGCATGTCGGTCACGCTGAGGTTCACGATGAACATGTTGCTCTGCTCTTCCCGGAGCCGGTGGTGGATCCGGACGCAGGCGATGACCAGCCCGTTGCCTAGCAACGACGCCATTGTGATCATGAGCAAGAGGAAGGACCAGATGATGATTTCGGTGGTGGTGCGCCCGCCTGTGGTGATGATGTTGCTGACGCTGCTGTTGTTGTTGCTGATGCTGTTGTTGATACTGTTGTTGATGATACTGTTGCTGATGATACTGTTGTTGTCGTTGGTGATGATGTTGCTGATGTCGTTGGTGGTTGAGATGGCGGCGGTGGTGGTGATGGTGGTGGTAGTTGTGAGTTGGAAGATGAAGGTAGACGTTGGTCCAAGATGTCTGTCAGCCATCTTGGTGGTTGTGGCGGAGGCAGCGCTGGAGTTGATCAGGGGTGAAAGAAAGAGGTTCAAACCGCAGATTCCATTACCGCTGACCGTTTGTTTTCATGTGCGGGTTTATACGTGGCCATCAAGATCTTGCGATTTGTTTGCCGGCCAAGTGGACAGGCGAGGTGTGTCAAGCTCGAGATGGGAAGAGTAAAAAACTTAGAGCGAGTTGTTGGAGGGTGTCTTTGATAGATGCTTCCTTTTTTCTGTCTGTCTGTCTGTCTGTCTGTCTGTCTGTCTGTCTGTCTGTCTGTCTGTCTGTCTGTCTGTCTGTCTGT